ATGTGGAGGATGAAGTGGAGGATGAAGTGGAGGATGAAGTGGAGGATGAAGTGGAGGATGAAGTGGAGGATTTCTCCTCTATTCCCGGTCCCACCGTGGTCATATTGGCCGTTGTGTTAGCGGTTTCTGTGCTGTTTGCTAGCTCTCCTTTGGCCTCCGGGGTTGTGGTTTCTCCTGTTGATCTGCCCTCTGGAGCTAAGGTGGTCGGCTGAGTTTCGGTTTTATTGAAGAGATCCCCTCCACCGGTGGAGTTTTCTGTGGTTGTCGTCGAGTTAAATTCCTCCTCAACTTCCGTCACGTTGGTTTGGCTCAGGTCTGTGGATCCTGTGGTCGTGTTGGTTTTGTCTTCAATTGATCCAAACTGCTCAGTTGTTGTTGTATTTTCGGATATTGGAGACATCGCTGAAGGGAATGCGCTCAGATCATCAGATGTTTGGTTTCCACTGAGATCTCCATTCAGCAGATTCTCCTCATCGGTGTTTCCTAACATAAATCCAGAAGGCGTCCCGCTGATGTCGTCAGTGTTAAATTCTCCCGTCTCAGCAGAAAGATTATTTTCCACTTCAGCTTTGAGGGGCTTGCGGAGCCAGCTTTTATCAATCGTGCGTCCTGGAGAGTCGGTGGAGTCCTGAAGTGCTGCCAGGTGAAGGGTTTGGACAAGCAGAAAGAGGCCTGCTGGGACTTTAAAAAGCTTCATCTTTCTGTCAGCTTCAGTCTGAAACAAAAGACAGAGTGAGCAGAGTTATCGTAGAGCCGGGGTGTCAAACTGTGGCCCGCGGGTCAAATCTGGCCCGCGTTGTAATTATATTTGGCCCGCAAGACAATACCAAATGACCACAAGAGCTGGTATTATACTGTACAGACCTTTAACGGCTCATACTACAACTCCCATAATGCCCTGCTGTTGTACAGGACCTAGAATCTCCTCTGTGACAGTAGGAAACACTACAGCTGTGCTAAACTTCCCAAAAATGACCAAAAGAAAGGCAGGAAACAGGAGCTTTCTGGACAAGCCCATTTAATTTTGATATTTAATTCAGAAGGCTGCGAATAGAAAAATGTTTTAAAGTTTTATTTCATAAATCAATGCCATTGATGTGGGTTTTTTAAAAAATTTTTATTTGATTGTGCATGTCTCCACTATTAAGTTATATATAATGTAATAAGAGTTGCTTGTTCCATATTCAATGTTAAAGCAAAATTCGTTTTGTTCCATATTAAAAGGTTAATTTGTTCAATCTTGGCCCGCGCCTTTGTTCAGGTTTTACATTTTGGCCCCCGGTGTTTTGGAGTTTGACATCCCTGTCTAGAGCAATGCTTCTCAAATAGTGTGACCCTGGGGAAGAGCCTTTTTTTTGGGCCGTACTAGTATAAAGTGTAATTGCGCATCCACTCCAGTAGGGGGCAGTGGCGCTCTCATCGTTACTTCAATGCAACATTTTACGACTTAAAGACGACAGGTTAGCCTCGGTTAGCATCTGCGTTCTGTCTATATCCTCCATTATTTAACATAACACCCCCAACATGAAAAAGTTTTAACAGATGAAAAGAAAAGCGGAGAGAGACAAAGATAACGAGACAAAAGAAAGTCACCCGAAAGCTAAGTGTTTTATATATTGTGCTCCTGAGTTAATGTTGCTTAACTGAATATAAATCAGTTACTATTTTTGTTGTTTTTGTAGTTTATTTATTGACTTGATTTGATTTCATTTTGCAATGGTGCAATTAGTTGGTCAAACACGTTTACAGCTTAAACAAGGATTTATTTATTTTTAATTTCAGGCATTGATGCGCTTAAAATCTTTTCTGTCGCAGACTTAAAACACGATTTAATAAAGTTGTAAGTTTGACCGTATGTCTTTCTTTTTTTTCTTTTCTTTAATGTTAATAAGGATAAAATGTTGTGGATAGATGGATAATCACGGTGGGGAGTGGGGGGGCGCGAAAAAAATTTTTCTTGTTAGGGGGGCGTAACAGAAAATAATTGAGAAGCACTGTCTTAGAGCATTGAATGCATGAACCATAAACCACAGGGACAAAGGCATAAACATAAGTTCTATTTATTTCCCTATTATTCTTCCATAGAAAAGGACATCAAATTCCAAAATATGACAAAAAATGGGCCCAAAAGAAAACAACTAACGCATACCTAACTCAGGATAACAAACCAACAACTCGGCAAACAATAATTAATAATTACAGAACAAAGGCGTTTACTAAATGTGTGCACCCATAATAGTAAACAACCGAAAACAATAGACACGCAAACAAATGAAATTATAAATGTATGGCATGAAACAATAAATACTAACACTGGGTTAATTGTGGAGGAACCTCCACACTAACTCATTATTAAAAACGATAAGCACAAACTGAGCGTTTTAAAAACCGTATCATTCTTTAAAGGAGACATATTATACCCTATTTCAACAAGTAAAACTAGTTCCCTGGTGTCCTAATGCAGTGTTTTTCAACCTTTTTTGAGCCAAGGTACATTTTTTCATTGAAAAAATCTCGAGGCACACCAACCAAAAATGTCAAACAAATCTGTTCCCGCCTATAGTAACACTATAGTTATTCTTATTATTTTATTCTTATCTTATCTTAAGTGTCATGAATAGGAATCAAATAAACACAAAAATGTATTTTTATCATATTTTATATTTCTTCTTTCAAATTGCTCTTAACATGTCCACTTCAATATACAAAATTAAATACAAAATCTAGTCATAAGGAATTATTACATGATTACTCCACCAGTCACTAGAACAGCACACACACTCAAAAATGGAACATTATTTGCAGATAATTAATTCCTTATCAAAAAAATTTTTTAGACCAATGAGGTGAAATAGGATGATTTTTTATGGCACACTAGTGTACCGAGGACCAGTGGTTGAAAAACACCGTCCTAATGTAATGTCTGTGACAAGCTTTGGTCAGAATCCCATCAGGATGAAGCCCAATAGCAGTTCAGTCCCCCTGCCTAACCCTAACCCTAACCCTAACCCTAACCCTAACCCAAAACAGCCCCGTTCAGAGCCTTTATCTGTGTCTATTATTCATGGACACAGAGGACATCTTTAAACCGTCAGAAGACCTTTCTCTGGTCCTGCCACATTTATCCAGGAAGTCACAAACTCAAGCATTTAGAGATTTCTCCTCATTTAGCAGCTCTCACGTTTAAGTTCTGCTTGTGCACCAGACCAGATATAACCAGCTTTTACGTTTTTCCACCCATTCCTTTCATTTCTATTCACGCTGGCTCTCAGAAAGGCCCAACAGGAAACATCTTAACAGACAAACTCACTAAAATGGTCACCATGACGACAATCTGCCTAAAAACACCCACGGGTGACAGGACTGTGCAGGTAAAAGAAAATGTCCATAGAAAAATTAGCCTTTTTTTAAAACTGATTTATTCAAATCTGACACGTTTTTCTATTTTTAAGAGACTTCAACATTTGTCAGGTTGTTGTTATAATAACGTTTATCATGAAGGTTAATAGAATTTGAACCACTGGAGTTGAATTGAAGCTTTGCATACAACAGACAGGACTAAGGAATAAGTCCAGTTCTGATCTGAATCCAATCTAATGTAAATGTATAGTATAATAGTATATGTAGTGTAACTTGAGGGTTCGATTAAATGGCGTCTGGATCTATCAAATTTATCTATTATCTATTATTTATCTATTTATCTATTATATCCATTATATCTATTTATCTATTAAATGGTTATTAAATGCTTTATTCTCTCTTATTCCAACTTTTTAGAACACATCCACTTCCTTGTTTTTGTCACATGACTAAAAACAACCCAATGAGAATCTAAACTAAGGAAAAGCAGATTCAACTAAATATCTTAAAGATGTAGTCGTGCATTAAATGAAATATAAATATATGAACTACTAAATTAACTGAACTTTACAGTAGTATAAAAGGACCTAGAGCTGAAGAAAAAACACATTCTGGCAAAAAATAGAGTTGAAGGAGGGAAGTTTGTTTCATTTCCGCTGTCAAAAAGTAATTTTATACTTTCCAAGGACTGAGCGCCAGTTCTACAGGTGTTAAAACAACGTGTTTATAACAGCATACCGACTCTGACCGAACCGAGAAGCTCAAAGGACAACGTGACATTTCTCCTTGCCTCTGTTTTTTTTAAAGTTAAAATGTGTCGGCTACAGTGATGTTAGTTTGGTTCTTTAGTTTGAAGCCTGAGAATAAACAAATAAATAAGTAGATCAGGAGTACAAATCTGACTTTTATTGGTCACCAGCAGATGTTAAACTTGTTTGTACAATAAGTCCAAACAAGTTTAACCAAAAATATTTATTTCTCACAATTATGAAGGCTGGAGGGTCAGGGTTATGGTTAGGGTTAGGGTCAGGGTTAGGGTTAGGGTTAGGGTCAGGGTTAGGGTCAGGGTTAGGGTTAGGGTCAGGGTCATTAATGTGGGCCACCATAACATCAGTAACAGGTCAGTTTGAAACCAAAGACACTAACCTGTCAAAATTCAGTTACATTTTGGGGTCTTTGTTTTTATCCTTGTGGTATCGAAAATGGTATCGAATATTTTCCTGAGTATCGGTATCCAGTTGAAAATTTTAGTATCGTGACAACCCTAACCAAAAAGTAGAATTATAAAGGGAATAATATGAACCTAAAAAGGAATAACACAATCAGTCATTTACATGGATTAAGATATAACATACTATGCTAAAGTGAGTAATTATAGCCCAGTTCTAACAGTGACACAAGTCAAACTCTGCAGTTTTTCCCATTTCAGCAAAGCCACAACAGTCTCCGATTATATATGCGGCTTTTTGACAGAGTGAATTAAAACAAATGCTCTTTGAGCTGCATGTTTCCCCCCCCGGCATGACTCGGTACACAAATATCTGCCCGTCCCAGCAGGCCTTTTGTTGATCGGCTGCTTTGTAGCTCGTCATAATCAGCGTGAAAGGCGGGGAGATATGCCGGAGCCTGCAGGAGCAGGCTGAAAATGCAAATACAGAGAGTCTATTTCTGGTTTTACCTGTTAGAGCTCGCTCTGCCATATCTCCATAACAGCGTGTCACTGTGGACACCACCAACTGACAAAAACCATGTCAGGACTGTCAATATCTTTTTTCCGAGAACAGAAATAAGCAAAATTTGGTCAGTAAAATCATTTTAAGCAGTGCAAAGGAATGGATGAAAACTATTGGCACTTTTCTTAGACACTCCCCTGATCAGTCACTTGCTTTGGAAAACGTTGTTTGCATCTCAACTACTGCCTTCAAAGCAGCAACAACAAAAAGATAATCAATTTCCTGAAAGGTGAAACCTTTCCTGGCTTCATCAGTGAGGAAGACAGACGTTTCTAAACTGGAGCCACAGGTGGAAAAATGACCGGCTGGATTAGAAAACACACCAAACAGCATCGAGGAGGTGGAAGGATGCATAATTAACTCCATGTTTGTCTGTTTTGATGCACATAGCTTTGTTTTGTGTGGGAATTTTCATGCTGGTTGTTTCCTCAAACAGCCTTTGCAAGTCTCTGCTGGTGTATTAGCCAATAGGACAACGTGTAAAACCTTGTTTTTTAACCCTATAATGCCAAATGTGTCTTATTTGATCCGGTTTCTTTTGGATGTGAGACTTTCTGCATCATTCAGTGGTAAAAGCTTTGCTCAAACCCCTGTTGTACACATT